AAAAAGACTTAATTTTAATTATGCATGTGTATGTTTGTTCTGGGCGTATGCACACAGGAGCGCAAATTTGCAGAGACCAGAAGGGGGTGGTAGAGATCCTGGAGCTGGAGTTACACGTGGTTGTGCTGTCTAATTTTAGGTCAAATTGACACAAGCTAGAGTCATTTGGAAAGAAAAAAAAAACTAAATTGAAAAAAAAAATGCCCCCATAAGAATGGCATGCGGTGCATTTTTAAAAACTTACTGATTGATGTGTGAGGGCTGGTGGTTCTGGGTGCTAAAAAGCAGGCTGAGAAGCAAGCAGTAAGCAGGACTCCACCATGGAGCTCACTCTATACACCAGGCTGGTCTCGAACTCACAGAGATCTGCCTGCTGCTGCCTCCTGAGTGCTGGGGTTACAGGCGTGTGTACTGTGTCTATTCAGCTTGCCTAAATTCTGTTGCATGCACTTATGTGTCACTTGTGTACCTGCTATCTGTCGTGTGACAGACTTTTCCTGGGAAGATGCAACACATGCACACACACATGCACACACACACATGTACACACACACACATACATGCACACACACACACTCACATCTACTCACTCTAAATAGGAAGCCCATAACAGACAAACTCCAACTTGATGAATCAGAGTTTTACTGGGGTTACTACAGGAATATGGATGAAGGATTGATTACTCACAAAAGCTGAAATGACTCAAAGACACCTACATTACCCAGATCCATCCTAGTACGGTGACAGCTCACAAAACTGGGAACCTGGAGCACACAGCACACACTGCAGGCAGCTCAGTTGGTTGGAAGGTGCTCTTTCCAGGTGACTCAGTCGGTTTGAGCTTCTTCCAGGCAGCTCAGCTACTCTGTTTCTTACAGGCATTTGGGCTGGTCTCAGCTGTTTTCGGTTGGCTGGGCTTGTCTGAGAGTTTGCCGTGCAGTTTGGCATGTCTCCATGTGATGCTTAGCATCTTTGATGTTTCTATCTCTTGGGGAGTGAGGGTCCCAGTGGATCTGGTCAGTTTTAGGGACTCCATGAAGTTATTCTGAGTTGTTTATTTACTGCTTTTTCTACCCTATTTGCAGTATCTCACCCTCCTTTAGGATGATCTGTGCTTTGACCCCTTTGTTGAAAATAGTTTCTTGCTGGGCGCTGGTGGCTCACAGCTTTAATCCCAGCACTTGGGAGGCAGAGGCAGGAGGATCTCTGGGAGTTCGAGTTCTACAAGAGCTAGTTCCAGGACAGGCCTCAAAGCTACAGAGAAACCCTGTCTCGAAAAAAAGCAAAAAAACAAAAAAAAACCAAACCAAAACAACAACAAAAAAGAAGTTTCCCTCTAGCTGGGTTTTTATTTTTGAGACCTGTTTCTCTGTGTAGCTCTAGTTGTCCTGTTCTGTAGACCAGGCTGGCCTTGAAATCACAGTCAACCTGCTGGGATTAAAGGCAGTCCACACCCTAGCTAGCTCATATATTGGAAACTTTGTTTTGTTTTTATTTCTTTTTTTTGGGGAGGGTGTTGGAAACAGGAGTTCCCTGTGTAACAGTCCTAGCTGTCCTGGAACTAGCCCTTATAGACCAGGCTGGCCTCGAACTCACAGGGATTCACCTGCCTCTGCCTCCCGAGTACTGGGATTAAAGGTGTGTGCCACCACTGCCTGGCTTGTTTTGTTTTTAGAGACAAGATTTCTCTGTGTAATAGCTCTGGCTGTCCTGGAATTCATTTTGAAGACCAGGCTGGCCTCATATTCAGAGAGATCCTCTTGCCTCTGCCTCCTGAGTGCTGGGATTAAAGGTGTGTGCCACCATCGCCCGGCCAAAATGGAAGGTTTTAATCTAGGACAGTGGTTCCAAACTTGGGAGCCTTGACCCCTTTGGGGATCAAATAATCCTTTTACAGGGATTGCATATCAGATATCCTGCAGATCAGAGAGTTATGATTCATAGCAGCAGTAGATATGAAGTAGCAATGAAAATAATTGTAAGGTTGGGAGTCAGCACACATGAGGAACTATATTAAAGGGCACAGCATGAGGAAGGTTGAGGACCACTGACTTGGGAGGAGTCAGTACAGAATGATACCTCAGTCCAGATGCCCGGCATCCCCCCCCCCCCCCCCCCCCCCCCCCCCCCCCCCCCCCCCCCCCCCCCCCCCCCCCCCCCCCCCCCCCCCCCCGTGCCCTAGGCTGCCCTTAGAGATCGACATCCACTCTGGCCCTCTCCAGCCCCTTAGCAATGCTCTGCTCTTTACCCTCCTGTTACAGAGGAGCCTTCCCCTCCTCCATTGTGGGGGAAGTGGGCGTGGCCCTTCGCTGCTTTCACCCTCCCTCTGTGCCTTTGTTTCCTTTCTGCTGTCTGGGTCTCCTCCTCTGTTTCTTCCTCTCTTCCTCCTTCCATCCCTTTCTCCCTTCTCTCTCCTTCCCAGTGTCTCTCCTTTCCTTTCCTTCCTCCTCCCTCTCTCCTTTCTTCCAATTTCCCATCTTCTTTCATTTTTAGAACACGTACTTCAGTTGGGCATGGTGGTGGATGCCCATAATCCCAACACTTGGGAGGTCGAGGCAGGAGGATCAGGAATCCAAGGCTGTTCTCAACTACATAGCAAGTTCAAGGCCAGTCTGGGCTACAGGAGATGCCCCCCAAATAAACCTAAACAAAAGAAAACGCCATGATGAGATCCATGGCAGCCTAAGACTCTCCATGAAATGATGGGCTCTGGTTTCCCTGGTGCTTATGACACTATATTTAGAATTATTAAAAGTAAAATAAGATTTTGGTGGTCTAATTAGTTGGCCAGGCAACAGCTCTGTCTCTTGGGCTGCCTTGTGTAGTTGACCCTTGTGGTCCCTTCCCCATTGGCTGAGAAGGTCCCCTCAACTCTTGTTCCTTGGTCCAAACAGAAATTTCCAAACGAGAGGAGGTAGAAGCTGTGACCATTGTGGAGACACCACCGCTGGTGGTGGTGGGCGTGGTGGGCTACGTGGCCACTCCTCGAGGTCTTCGGAGCTTCAAGACCATCTTTGCGGAACATCTCAGTGATGAGTGCCGCCGACGCTTCTACAAGGATTGGTGAGAGCCTCACCCTGGCTCTGCGCTAGAGCAATGGAGGGGGAGGGGAGCCTTGCCCAGGTAGAGAGTCTGTGTGGTGCCTTCAGTGTAGCAAGATAGGAAGAAGTATCAGAGAGCTAGAGAGGACATTGGAATCCAGAGATAGGAAGAACCAAATATTCAGATCTTCAGGGTTGGGCTGGTGGGATGACTCGGGTGTTTGCTGCCCAGCCTGCCAACCTGTGTTCCATACCTGGGATAAGGCGGAGGAGAGAACTGATTCTTGAGTTGTCCTCTGACCACCACATGTGCACTGCGGTGCTTGTAAACATATACATATATATCAAAATAAGTGCAAAGAGTTTAAAATCACCAGTCATTATATTCATGGTGATAACTGGATGGAATTTCAGAATTGCCATGCGGGGACTGGAAGCCAGCCTGGCCTACAGGGCGAGTTCCAGAACAGCCAAGGCTACACAGAGAAACCGTGTTTCAGAAAACAAAAAACAAACAAACAAATTAAAAACACCCCCCCCACACACACACAGCGCAGGACTATATGACCGAGGCAATATGGCTGACATCTTGAGTTCCTTGCATGGCTAGATGAAGGGTGTAGAATGTGGCTCCCCCCTACTCCCCAAAGTGACTGGTGAGCAGCAAGGATGCCGATTTTACTGTTTGTACCATGAATTTGCTCTTCATCCAGAGTTTAGCCTCTGGGACCCATGGCTTCTTCATCTCTAGGATTGGGCTCATCATTCTACCTGAGCCCCAAATGGGGGTGGGAAGGGTGTCTGCCTAACTGGAGGGACAGCATTTGCTCACCGTGTCTGAGGGAGGATAGAGGTCTGATTACTGCTGGGCACACACCTGGAATCCTAACATTTTTAGAAGGATTTGGAGTATTAGTCCAGCCTGGATGACATAGTGGGATCCTCTTGAGACACACACACCCACACACATACAAAGAGGAGAAGTTGGGGAAGGAGGGACGGAGGGAGAGGACATGTTCACCAATGGTGCCTGGAAACATCCCAGGCTCTTTGGGAGGGCCTGGGCCAGGCCTCTTGCTTGGTGGGCTGAAGGTAGGGTGAGGCAGGCGGGACACCACAGAGAGCTACCTGGCTGGGTGTTGAGCACTCTGTGTGTGGCTCAGGCACAAGAGTAAGAAGAAGGCTTTTACCAAAGCCTGCAAGAGGTGGCGAGATGCCGACGGCAAGAAGCAGATCCAGAAGGACTTTGCCGCCCTGAAGAAGTACTGCAAGGTCATTCGGGTCATTGTCCACACCCAGGTCAGCCTAGCCCCCACCTCCAGCCCATCCCCCCCACCTCCAAATGAAGAGCCCTGACAAATGTCAGCTTAAAAATAGCACCAGCCCTGGGAACAGGCTCAAGATCTGGCCAGCTACCTCACTAGCCACTCTTGTCCCAGAGTTGAGAGGTCACTGGCATGTGATGTTATATGCCAGTGCCATCAACAGCTATTGTGCCCCACGGACGACTCAGGTGCCCAACTGTCCTGAGAGGCTTGAGTCTTCAGTCAAAGGTCCAGCATGGAGAACTGGCTGTACCTGGGGTCCAGCTTGATGCTGACTGAAATCTAACCAGAACACTCGCTCTGGAATTTTCCTATACATCTTGTCTTCAGAGAAGTATTACCCGGCTGCAACCCTATCCTCACCCCTCCTGGGCGCCTCCCCTGCTCTGTGAACACGGGGCTCTTGTTCACTCTCACACCTGTAGCTCATGGGGAAGCAAGTCAGGGCTTGATGTTTGCCAGTTTGCCCTCCAGGGACCATGGAGGCAAGGGTCACATTCATCTAATTCCCCTATGAGCCCCAGGCCATACAGTATACATAATAGCCTGGTATACAGTAGGAGCTCTATAAATACTATGCTGTGACCTAACTGGTGTGCTTACACTTGTATATCCTCTTAGCATATGAAGCTCACAGCAGCCAGGGCCTTGCCGAATGGTCTAGTTGGCACCCTACACTTGGAAGGAAGTTGGAGCCCACTCCTACATCTGCCTGTCCTGGCAGCCTCCTGCTCCCATCTGGCCAGATGGTCCCAGCAACTTTCCAAGATCTTTCCTAACACAGGGCCTTTCTGCATGCTGCTCGCGTCACGTGGAGTTCTGTGTAGTGACTTTTTGCTGGTTTTGGTCACTTCCTCAGAGAGGCCCTTCCTGACCACTCTACCGGAGATGCTGTCTGTTGTTTACCAGAACACTGAGCCCTCTCCAAGAGTTTACTTGACTTTAATCTGTCCTGAAAGGAGACGGTGGGACTCCCTGAGATACAGGGTGCTGCCTGCCTCAATCTGTGGTGTACCTCCAGCACCCAGCATGTGGCAGGAGCACAATAATGTCTGAATAAACACAAAGGGGAAAGACTTCAGGTTACCAGCGGGCTAGCCATCTGCAGTGTGGGGGGCTTGTGAAGTGACCTTCCCGCTGTGTCTGCAGATGAAGCTGCTGCCCTTTCGGCAGAAGAAGGCCCACATCATGGAGATTCAGCTGAATGGTGGTACCGTGGCTGAGAAGGTGGCCTGGGCTCAGGCACGGCTGGAGAAGCAGGTGCCTGTACACAGTGTGTTCAGCCAGAGTGAGGTCATTGATGTTATTGCTGTGACGAAGGGCCGGGGTGTTAAAGGTAAGGCCTGGTAGAGACAGTAGCTCCAGGGAAGAGTGTTTAGTGGGGGCCAGAGTGGCCTCTTAGCCTCCCTTCCTCTCTACAGGGGTCACTAGCCGCTGGCATACCAAAAAGCTGCCAAGGAAGACCCACAAAGGCCTGCGCAAGGTGGCCTGCATTGGTGCCTGGCACCCTGCCCGAGTAGGCTGCTCCATTGCCCGGGCTGGGCAGAAGGGTTACCACCATCGTACAGAGCTGAACAAGAAGGTGTGTCCATAGCTCTGAGGGGTATCTAGTGGGACGGCAAGATTCAAACTCTGATTGGGTTCATGAAATATCATTACTAGTTCCAGAGTCTGAGCATGCGTACTTGGGGATGTGTGTGGCCATGTTGCTAGCCCACCTTTGGTTCCTACTGCTGTTTTCCCGGCAGATCTACCGAATTGGCAGGGGGCTGCACATGGAAGATGGGAAGATGGTTAAAAACAATGCATCCACCAGCTATGATATCACTGACAAGTCTATCACACCCCTGGTGAGGCTGGCAAACGGGATCTAATGGGGGCTGGGGGGTATACCCGAGGTGGTGCTACCCTGCCCCCCACCCAGAGTTCCATTATGTAAGCTCCGCAACTGGATATAGGCCCCCACACAGACTAGGCCTAGGGTCTTGGCAGGAAGTCAGTGATGGGAGGCCTGATATGCCAGTGAGCAACCACTTGGAAGCTCCATTCCTTGTATGTTCCTGCACCCTTTATACCTGCTGAGAGGAGATGTGCATACAGCTGCATACAGCAGTTCTTGCAGTGGCCTAGGAACCAGCTCTGAACTAGTGGGAAACAGCCATGGAGCCTAAGCATGTGACTGCATTTCAAGTAGCCCATGTCGACCTCCAACTCCCTAAACAGCTGAGGATGACCTTGGAAATGCTGATCCTGTTTCTACCTTTTTCTGAATGCTGAGAGCATGTGGCCGCACACTGTTTATTCCTCTGTGTAGCTCTGACTGTCCTGGAACTTGCTCTGTAGACCAGGGTGGCCTCAAACTCTAAGATCCTCCTGCCTCCTCCCAAGTTCTGGGATTAAAGGCATGTTCCACCATGCCCAATTATCATCTTATTTTTTATTGTGGTGCCCAGGATCGAACACGGGGCCTTGTGAACACTAAGCTAGCATTCTTCCAGCTGAGCTACTGTTATGCAGGCTGGCCTTAAGTGATCCTGCTGTATCGGCCTCTCAAGTGCTAGATTTATAGGGGTATACTACTGTGCTCAGCATCCCCAAACTTCTGAGCTTCAGTGTCCCCCACAAAAAGGCATGTTAATGTTAAGTGAGATAAGGCAGGAAGAATACTAAGAACGGGGCTCAAATGCTGTTGCCCTGACAAGTGGTCCAGTGTGAGGTATCCCGGGGTCTGAGCATGGGGCTCCTACATATCAGTCACCTAACCTGTCTGCCTTGTACCTGCTTGGTGTGATCTGTCTCCCGGCAGGGTGGCTTCCCCCACTATGGGGAAGTGAACAATGACTTCGTCATGTTAAAGGGCTGCATTGCAGGCACCAAGAAGAGGGTGATCACACTGAGGAAGGTAAGCGCAGCATGGCAAGCGGGGTGGTGGGCTCCATTCAGTAGCCCATTCTGTCCTGTAGCCTGCTTTGCGGCGGGTGGGGTGGTGGGAGAGTGGAGGAAGGGGTCTGGCAAGGGCAGGTGATCGACTGAGTCCTTCTTGGTGTGGAGCGGGGGGGGGGGGGGGGGGGGGGGGGGGGGGGGGGGGGGGGGGGGGGGGGGGGCAAGCTGAGTAGCCCCTGAGGATTCCCTAGTTGTCCTTTTAAATGGGATTCCTGAGTCTGAAATGAGTGGACAGCCGCCGAGCTCTGGAGAATATCGAACTCAAGTTCATTGACACCACTTCCAAGTTTGGCTATGGACGCTTCCAAACAGCGCAGGAGAAGAGAGCCTTCATGGTGAGCTAGTCCCGCTTGTTCTCTGGGTCCCAAAACTCCATACCGCGCTTGTTTCGGAGAGGAGCTGGGGAAGGGCGCTTTTAGGGATCTAGCAGAGAGGCCCTCAGTAGCCTTGGTGACGGTCGTAGACAGTATTTCTTGATTGATTCTCGTGACTAACACTCCTCCTGTCCCCCCATTTGAACCAGGGCACCCAAAAGAAGCATCTGGAGAAAGAGAAGCCGGAGACCTCGGGAAACATATAAGATGCCTGGAATAGAGCACACTAGGGAGTGCTTCTGCTGCGCGTCCTGTCGTTTTTATCTAATAAAGTCCTGAGGAAACTCTTAAGCCTGGGTCAGAGGGTTGCAGGGTGGTGTGGGGGCGCCAAAAGGCGGGCCGACGTCTCAAAGCGCAAGGTTTACGGCCAGATTACGGCGGACTAGGCATGCAGCTGGGTGGATGTACCACTGGGGTCCTGAGGTCTTCTGGAGCCCTGGCTGAACCCCGGCTTCTGCTGAAGGAGAGAGGCTACACGGAAGAGGCTCTCCGAGCGGGGCCTCCTGGAGGCGGAAGTGGGAAACCTGGTTCCTGGGAGGGATTGGTTGGACGGGTGGGGTTTAGGACCTACCGGAGGAAAGACAGACAGGTCGAGGGCGGGGCTTCTAGGAGGAGGGTAGTGAGAAATCCTGGAGTGATTCTCCTCTAGGGGCGGGGCTTAGAGCAAACCTGTACGTGATTGGTCATTAGGAAGGGGGCGGGTTTGCGTCTAGAGCTGAGGGATTTCATGTTCCCCGGAGGGGTGCTTTGGTTTGCTCCATTGCGGCCATGTCGTTCTGCAGCTTCTTCGGGGGCGAGGTTTTCCAGAATCACTTCGAGCCAGGTACAGCCTGTGGCCTTAAAGGAGGCATCGTCTTCTGGATGATGGTGGAATTTCCGAGCCAGGATGGGGCGACCGTGGCTGCTGAGGAGAAGCGAGTTTGGGAAAGAAGGACTAAGAGAAGGGGCTGGCGAGGGCTGGAGCAGAAGGACTTGAGAGGAGAGGGGGCATTCCAGTAAAATCTGTTTTCGTGGGGGTCAGGCCTTGAACCTCAGTGTAGATCTCACTACGGATCCTCCGGGCCGAGTGCTTTGGGGTGGTACTATCCATATGGTTTCAGAGTGGAGCGGGATTCCGAGGATGTGTGGTCCGAGGTTCCCTGTTGTGTGTTCCTTCCCGGACTCCTTCGGCACTTTCCGTTGAGTCCTGAATGTGCCTGTCCGGGTGTCTCCCTGTCCTCTCTGTTAGCTGTCAGTGAAGAGTAACCCGTCCAGCCTGGGCGCAGTAGACCCAGGCTGGGAGAGACTCTGGTGAGTTCCCTTCTGCTGATGCGCGACTAATTTGGTAAAACTATGTATGGCATTGGCATTCCTGGGGCGGGATTTGTTGGATGTCTGTTCTCTAGAGGGCTGAGCTGTGACACTGGGCATCTGTATATGCCAGCTGTAATACAGGGTCACTCCCTTGAGTCCTTCTTGGCTACAGGACTCCAGATGCTCCCAGGCTGCCCTGGCAAGCTGAATGCCACTATGTTTTGCCTCCTCTCCAGTTCCGGGTACAGTCTGAACAGTTCACACCCTCAAGGGGTGGGTGGTGGGTGAATCAGTACCCTGCAACTTCCCATTTTTTAGTCTTTCAAGTAGTTATGCAATTCAGTTTTGTAACCTTAAAGACTCCTTCCACTCAGGTGATCTTTTGGGGACAGGTTGAAACCTTTCTTCTGAGCAGTTGTTTTTCTGGGGTTCCCTGTTTGGCTTGGAAGACTGTTCCCTAAAGCCAGTGTGTTCCTGCTCAGAGAGCAGGCCCACGGCTGGGTATCCAGTTTGGAACTTTGTAGAGTAGCAGAGATGCCCACTCGAGGGAGACCAAATGGTTACACTGGCAGTGTTAGGGGCCTGCTGTGTGGATCTTGTCCAGGGGTAAAGGAAGGCTATCATCAGGTATTTAGGGTTCTCTCTTGGCCACATACATTATTGTGTGTCTGCAACGCCAGCCTTCCACCTTCTTGCCCATAAATGGATATGTTAGCCAAGTATGGTTCACATCTGTAATGCCAGGGTATAGGAAGCTCAGGCAGAAGCATTGCCTTTATATTTTTTTATTTTTTAGTTTCTCGCGACAGGGTTTCTCTGTAGCTTTGGAACCTGTCCTGGAACTTGCTCTGTAGGCCTCAAACTCACAGAGATCCACCTGTCTCTGCCTGCTGAGTGCTGGGATTAGAGGCGTGCGCCATTACCACCCAGGGCATTGCCTTAGATATGAGGCCAGCCTGGATTACAGAGTTTCAGGCTAGCCTGGGCTACAGTGTGAGACTCGTCCTAGTTTGTGTCTCTGTTGTGATAACACTGGCCAAAACCCGTCCAGGGAGGAAAGAGTTTATTTCAGTTTGCAAGTCACTGTCCATCATCGAGGGAAGCCAAGTTAGGAACCCAGAGGCAGGAACTTAGCAGAGACCACAGAGAAATGCTGCTTACTGGTTTGCTGCCCTAGCTTGCTCAGCTTCCTTCCTTTCTTCCTTTTCTTCCTTCCTTTTCATTTTTTCTTTTTCTTTTTTTTCAAGACAGGATTTCTCCTTGTAGCCTTGGCTGTCCTGGAACTCACCTCGAACTCAGAGATCTTCCTGCTTCTGCCTCTCCAGTGCTGGGGTTAAAAGTGTGCACCACCACACCTGCCTCAGCTACCTTTCTTCTATAGATAATCTAGACCCACTTACTTAGGGGTGGTACCACCCACAGTGAGCTGGGCCCTCCCACAGCCATCATTAATCAAGAAAGTGCCCCCATAGACATGCCCACAGACCAGTTTGATCAGGTAAGGCCTCATCTGGAGTCCTCTGCCTGGGCAACTCCAGTTTGTTTCAAGTTAACAGAAACTGACCACACAAATGACGGCACAAGATGTTGTCTCAGAACAAACCCCCAAGGGGCCGGGGTTTTATTCCCACATGATGGTTCACTCCATTCTCAGGAATCTGACCCTTTATTCTGGTCTCTTCCAGTGTCTGTGGGCACTGCATACATGTGGTACATGCAGGCAAAACATACATGGACATACATGCAGGCAAAACAGCCATATGCATAAAATAAAGTCTTAAAACATCCAAAACTAAATAATGAAATTAAAAGGTTAAAGATTTCATCACGGGCCACTGAGAGCAGCAGAAATGAGCGCAGAGAGTGATTCCTCATCTCGTGTGACCCAGCCAGGCCTTGCTGGGTCTCCCAGAGGCAATCAATGGGCTATGAGCAGGGGTACATGGGGACGGCGTGCTCTACCACCACGATGGGACGGTGCTACTGTTGTCGTTTCCTGGGTCCAAAGACAAGGAAAACTGCACAGACAGATGGAGCTGACGGTTGACTCTGCGCTTGTTCTTCCTCTGCTGCAGGCGTGTATGTGTGCTCCAAGTGTGGCTATGAGCTGTTCTCCAGCCGCTCCAAGTATGCACACTCCTCCCCATGGCCAGCGTTCACTGAGACCGTCCATGCAGACAGTGTGACCAAGCGCCCCGAGAAGAACCGACCCGAAGCTTTAAAGGTGGGTGCGATCGTCCTGGGGAGTGCCGGCCAGGGAGGGTCTTGGCACCAGTTACGCTTTTCTTCCTTTGCTCCCTCGTGAGGCTATTCCAGGTCTCCATCTTCAGCTAGGACGCTGGCGTCTAAGATTTTTTTTTTTTTTTTTTTNGGGGGGGGGGGGGGGGGGGGGGGGGGGGGGGGGGGGGGGGGGGGGGGGGGGGGGGGGGGGGGGGGGGGGGGGGGGGGGGGGGGGGGGGGGGGCGGGTACGGGGTAGTTGGGGCTCTCCATCCTTGACGTCTCTCTTGGATCCCCAGTCCCTCCTAGTGCACCACAGCCGCCGAGCTCTGGAGAATATCGAACTCAAGTTCATTGACACCACTTCCAAGTTTGGCTATGGACGCTTCCAAACAGCGCAGGAGAAGAGAGCCTTCATGGTGAGCTAGTCCCGCTTGTTCTCTGGGTCCCAAAACTCCATACCGCGCTTGTTTCGGAGAGGAGCTGGGGAAGGGCGCTTTTAGGGATCTAGCAGAGAGGCCCTCAGTAGCCTTGGTGACGGTCGTAGACAGTATTTCTTGATTGATTCTCGTGACTAACACTCCTCCTGTCCCCCCATTTGAACCAGGGCACCCAAAAGAAGCATCTGGAGAAAGAGAAGCCGGAGACCTCGGGAAACATATAAGATGCCTGGAATAGAGCACACTAGGGAGTGCTTCTGCTGCGCGTCCTGTCGTTTTTATCTAATAAAGTCCTGAGGAAACTCTTAAGCCTGGGTCAGAGGGTTGCAGGGTGGTGTGGGGGCGCCAAAAGGCGGGCCGACGTCTCAAAGCGCAAGGTTTACGGCCAGATTACGGCGGACTAGGCATGCAGCTGGGTGGATGTACCACTGGGGTCCTGAGGTCTTCTGGAGCCCTGGCTGAACCCCGGCTTCTGCTGAAGGAGAGAGGCTACACGGAAGAGGCTCTCCGAGCGGGGCCTCCTGGAGGCGGAAGTGGGAAACCTGGTTCCTGGGAGGGATTGGTTGGACGGGTGGGGTTTAGGACCTACCGGAGGAAAGACAGACAGGTCGAGGGCGGGGCTTCTAGGAGGAGGGTAGTGAGAAATCCTGGAGTGATTCTCCTCTAGGGGCGGGGCTTAGAGCAAACCTGTACGTGATTGGTCATTAGGAAGGGGGCGGGTTTGCGTCTAGAGCTGAGGGATTTCATGTTCCCCGGAGGGGTGCTTTGGTTTGCTCCATTGCGGCCATGTCGTTCTGCAGCTTCTTCGGGGGCGAGGTTTTCCAGAATCACTTCGAGCCAGGTACAGCCTGTGGCCTTAAAGGAGGCATCGTCTTCTGGATGATGGTGGAATTTCCGAGCCAGGATGGGGCGACCGTGGCTGCTGAGGAGAAGCGAGTTTGGGAAAGAAGGACTAAGAGAAGGGGCTGGCGAGGGCTGGAGCAGAAGGACTTGAGAGGAGAGGGGGCATTCCAGTAAAATCTGTTTTCGTGGGGGTCAGGCCTTGAACCTCAGTGTAGATCTCACTACGGATCCTCCGGGCCGAGTGCTTTGGGGTGGTACTATCCATATGGTTTCAGAGTGGAGCGGGATTCCGAGGATGTGTGGTCCGAGGTTCCCTGTTGTGTGTTCCTTCCCGGACTCCTTCGGCACTTTCCGTTGAGTCCTGAATGTGCCTGTCCGGGTGTCTCCCTGTCCTCTCTGTTAGCTGTCAGTGAAGAGTAACCCGTCCAGCCTGGGCGCAGTAGACCCAGGCTGGGAGAGACTCTGGTGAGTTCCCTTCTGCTGATGCGCGACTAATTTGGTAAAACTATGTATGGCATTGGCATTCCTGGGGCGGGATTTGTTGGATGTCTGTTCTCTAGAGGGCTGAGCTGTGACACTGGGCATCTGTATATGCCAGCTGTAATACAGGGTCACTCCCTTGAGTCCTTCTTGGCTACAGGACTCCAGATGCTCCCAGGCTGCCCTGGCAAGCTGAATGCCACTATGTTTTGCCTCCTCTCCAGTTCCGGGTACAGTCTGAACAGTTCACACCCTCAAGGGGTGGGTGGTGGGTGAATCAGTACCCTGCAACTTCCCATTTTTTAGTCTTTCAAGTAGTTATGCAATTCAGTTTTGTAACCTTAAAGACTCCTTCCACTCAGGTGATCTTTTGGGGACAGGTTGAAACCTTTCTTCTGAGCAGTTGTTTTTCTGGGGTTCCCTGTTTGGCTTGGAAGACTGTTCCCTAAAGCCAGTGTGTTCCTGCTCAGAGAGCAGGCCCACGGCTGGGTATCCAGTTTGGAACTTTGTAGAGTAGCAGAGATGCCCACTCGAGGGAGACCAAATGGTTACACTGGCAGTGTTAGGGGCCTGCTGTGTGGATCTTGTCCAGGGGTAAAGGAAGGCTATCATCAGGTATTTAGGGTTCTCTCTTGGCCACATACATTATTGTGTGTCTGCAACGCCAGCCTTCCACCTTCTTGCCCATAAATGGATATGTTAGCCAAGTATGGTTCACATCTGTAATGCCAGGGTATAGGAAGCTCAGGCAGAAGCATTGCCTTTATATTTTTTTATTTTTTAGTTTCTCGCGACAGGGTTTCTCTGTAGCTTTGGAACCTGTCCTGGAACTTGCTCTGTAGGCCTCAAACTCACAGAGATCCACCTGTCTCTGCCTGCTGAGTGCTGGGATTAGAGGCGTGCGCCATTACCACCCAGGGCATTGCCTTAGATATGAGGCCAGCCTGGATTACAGAGTTTCAGGCTAGCCTGGGCTACAGTGTGAGACTCGTCCTAGTTTGTGTCTCTGTTGTGATAACACTGGCCAAAACCCGTCCAGGGAGGAAAGAGTTTATTTCAGTTTGCAAGTCACTGTCCATCATCGAGGGAAGCCAAGTTAGGAACCCAGAGGCAGGAACTTAGCAGAGACCACAGAGAAATGCTGCTTACTGGTTTGCTGCCCTAGCTTGCTCAGCTTCCTTCCTTTCTTCCTTTTCTTCCTTCCTTTTCATTTTTTCTTTTTCTTTTTTTTCAAGACAGGATTTCTCCTTGTAGCCTTGGCTGTCCTGGAACTCACCTCGAACTCAGAGATCTTCCTGCTTCTGCCTCTCCAGTGCTGGGGTTAAAAGTGTGCACCACCACACCTGCCTCAGCTACCTTTCTTCTATAGATAATCTAGACCCACTTACTTAGGGGTGGTACCACCCACAGTGAGCTGGGCCCTCCCACAGCCATCATTAATCAAGAAAGTGCCCCCATAGACATGCCCACAGACCAGTTTGATCAGGTAAGGCCTCATCTGGAGTCCTCTGCCTGGGCAACTCCAGTTTGTTTCAAGTTAACAGAAACTGACCACACAAATGACGGCACAAGATGTTGTCTCAGAACAAACCCCCAAGGGGCCGGGGTTTTATTCCCACATGATGGTTCACTCCATTCTCAGGAATCTGACCCTTTATTCTGGTCTCTTCCAGTGTCTGTGGGCACTGCATACATGTGGTACATGCAGGCAAAACATACATGGACATACATGCAGGCAAAACAGCCATATGCATAAAATAAAGTCTTAAAACATCCAAAACTAAATAATGAAATTAAAAGGTTAAAGATTTCATCACGGGCCACTGAGAGCAGCAGAAATGAGCGCAGAGAGTGATTCCTCATCTCGTGTGACCCAGCCAGGCCTTGCTGGGTCTCCCAGAGGCAATCAATGGGCTATGAGCAGGGGTACATGGGGACGGCGTGCTCTACCACCACGATGGGACGGTGCTACTGTTGTCGTTTCCTGGGTCCAAAGACAAGGAAAACTGCACAGACAGATGGAGCTGACGGTTGACTCTGCGCTTGTTCTTCCTCTGCTGCAGGCGTGTATGTGTGCTCCAAGTGTGGCTATGAGCTGTTCTCCAGCCGCTCCAAGTATGCACACTCCTCCCCATGGCCAGCGTTCACTGAGACCGTCCATGCAGACAGTGTGACCAAGCGCCCCGAGAAGAACCGACCCGAAGCTTTAAAGGTGGGTGCGATCGTCCTGGGGAGTGCCGGCCAGGGAGGGTCTTGGCACCAGTTACGCTTTTCTTCCTTTGCTCCCTCGTGAGGCTATTCCAGGTCTCCATCTTCAGCTAGGACGCTGGCGTCTAAGATTTTTTTTTTTTTTTTTTTTGAGACATGGGTTTCTCTGTGTAGCCCTGGCTGTCCTTCTCTGCAGTGCAGGCTGGCCTCAAACTCAGAGATCCATCTGCCTCTGCCTCCTGAGCTGGGACTAAAGTCGCCACACGTGGATTTTGAGAGTGCTTGTAGTCTGAGAGAGCGTGAGCATCAGGACAGCTTCCTTGCACAGGCCCCACCCCTCAGAGCTATAGATAGCTTGGGAAACAGGCAGATGGTGGAAGCATTATCTCTTTGCAGCAGGCAGGGCCACTAACTGTGTTTGGGTTTTCCCAGGTGTCCTGTGGTAAGTGTGGCAATGGGTTGGGCCACGAGTTCCTGAATGATGGCCCCAAGCGAGGACAATCCCGATTCTGAATATTTAGCAGCTCATTGAAGTTCATCCCTAAAGGTGAGCACCTTTAGTGGCGGGACATCCTATTGTCACTGAGGAAAATGCAGCGGGGAGGCACGTGGTGGAGGCTGGACTGTCGACTGTCGCAAAATGCACCTACCAATGGCGCCTCAAAAACTGGCTGAAGGACAGGACTAGGAGGCTAACATCTAGGGTGTCTCGGGTCCATCTCAGGGAGAGCGTGGCGTGAGGTTCTCTCTGTAGGCCTGGCCTTTCCATGTGCCTGGAATCTTTGGTTGATTGTAGGGGTGGGTGAAGGCTGAGGACCTGGTGGGCCATGTGACCAAAGGCTTGCTTCTGAACCTGAGTGCCTGTCATTCCTCTGCATAGTCACCATGGTAGCATATTTTATATCCCAGGACTGCTGGGACAACTGAATGTGATATGGTACCCCCTAGGGCCTAGCACATAGTAACAACTCAATAAAACTGCTCCTTTATCAACCTTTTTAGTGGTGGTCAAGGGCCAGACCCTTTATCCAGTTTCTTGATCTGCAAAATGGAGCTGTCAAATAACAGCTGACAGTCCTCCCTGTGGGGTTAATGGCAGTCTGGAAGGCCGGGGGCACACTGAGCTATGGCGATATTTGTGCCCTGCTGTCCTTTGTTCTCTGTGTCTGGTGAAGGAAGAAGAGACTGTGTGTCCTGTAGATCTCAGGAAATGAATAGTGTGCCTACTCCGTTGTGCTGGCTCCCTGGGCCTTCCACCTGGCCTGGAGTCTGCTGACTCATGTTTGGTCTTAGTACTTTTCAGAAAAAGTACATTTTCCTCCATTTATTTATTTATTTGTGTGTGTTTAATCCAGGAATTTGCTCTGTAGATCAGGCTGGCCAGTGTGTGTGTGTGTGTGTGTGTGTGTGTTTAATCCAGGAACTTGTTCTGTAGATCAGGCTGGCTTGGAACTCAGAGATCAGCACCACCTACCTCTGCTTCCCAAGTGCTGGAAAGGCATGTGCCACTACCCCCAGCTCTCTTTTTACTTTTATATTATGTATATGGGCATTTTGCCTGCATGTATTTCTTTTTTTTTTTTTTTTAAGATTTATTTATTTATTATGTATACAGAGTTCTGCCTGCATGTATGCCTGCAGGCCAGAAGAGGGCACCAGATCTCATTACAGATGGTTGTGAGTGAGCCACCATGTGGTTGCTGGGAATTGAACTCAGGACCTCTGGAAGAGCAGTCAGTGCTCTTAACCTCTGAGCCATCTCTCCAGCCTGCCTGCATGCATTTCTGTGTACCAAGTGTGTGCAGTGCCGGAGGAACCAGAAGAGGGCATTGGATCCCTGGGGCTGGAGTTACAGATGGTGTTAGCCATCATGTGGGTGCTGGGGATGGATCCTGGGTCCTCTGGATGAGCCGCCCATCTCTCCAGCTCCCTGACAAAAATACATTTTAGTTTATTCACTTAGTGTACTTGTGGGTGTGTACATGCCAGTGCACATGTCAGAGGACAGATACGGGAGTTGGTTCTCAGTCTTCCACTTTTAACCTGGGTATCAAGTTCAGGTTCTTAGGCTTGGATGGCAAGTGCCTTCACCCACTGAGCTACCTATCCCTGGTTTTAGTTTTTTTGTTTCCTGGTTTTAGGTTTTTGTTCTTTAAGACAGGAGCTTGTGCTTGGTAGTGGCGACACACACCTTTAATCCCAGCACTTGGGAGGCAGAGGCAGGCAAATCTCTGTGAGTTCCAGGACAGCCAGGGTTGTTTCACAGAGAAAACAAACAAACAAACAAAGCCAGGGTCTTGCTATATAGCCCTGGCAGTCCTTGAGTTCACAGAGATCTACTGTCTCAGTCTCCAATACGGTTTAATATTTTGAGATAGGTGTCACTGTGGCCCATAGTGGCCTGGAATTTACCATACAGCCCTTCCTGACGGCACCTCCTGAACCTCCTGCCTCTGGAATGCTGGGCTTGCAGCTAGGAACCATCACACCAGATGAAGCTTGACTTAACAATGATGTGTTTTCTCTCCTCTCTTTTCCAGGCGGAGAAACTCCTGCTCCCCAGGAGCACAAGGTGAGCAGCTGTCCTTCTAGATGGGCATGCCCACTGTCGGGCAGCCCCACTTTAGTGATGGAACTCTGGACATTCAGACTGGGAGGCTGGGAGGAGGTGGTTGAAGCATCAGGAAGGCTCCCAGTGCCCTGGCTCTGAATGGAATCACCTTAGATGGAGCACCTTTGGAAAGTCTACTGTTCTACCATGATGGTCCTGGGGATGGTGTTAAGCCATTAGCTGTTTGAGTCTGTAAGAGTCTCTGGGTTTAGCTCATCTTTGAATGACACTGTACTCTGTAGGCAGAGACTGCTCTTTTGTTTCCCTGCCACCCAGACCCAAATAATCACACAGAAACTATATTAATTACAACACTGTTTGGCCTTTTAGCTCAGGATTCTTATTGGCTAGCTCTTATATCTTAAAATAACCCATTTCTATTATTCTGTATATCGCCATGAGGCTGTGGCTTACCAGGTAAGGTTCCGGCAACTGTCTCCTTTGGCAGCTACATGGCATCTCTCTGACTCCACTTACTCTCTTTGTAGATCTCTGTTCAGATTTCCTGCCTGACTTTGCTCTGCTAAGTCATTGGCTGAAACAGTTTTATTTATCAACCAGTAAAAGCAACACATATACAGAAGGACATCCAACATCATCTCCCCTTTTCTGTCTAAATAAAAAGGAAGATTTTAACTTTAACGTAGTAAAATTACATATAACAAAACAAGTATCAAGCAAGTCTATTTGTATCTGGCAAAATCAAATATTCTATCATCTGTTTTATCTTTGTGATTCTAAAATTTCGTATCTAATTTATTTTTTATCACAACTAAGGAAAACTATAACTATCTGTCTTCAACTCCTCAAAGACTCCAGAAGGATATAACATTACCTAAGTAAACAGGAAGTGCATTGTAAACAACTTCCAAAGTTCTAGAATTGATTGAGATATCTTGCTGCCTAGACAGTCACCCAAAGTTCTTCTGTAACGTTGGGGCATCTATCTTCAGCCTATAGGCCCATAGTATCTGGCAGACTTTTCCATGAAGCAAGAAATTTAAAAGGCTATTTCCTCTATCTTGGCAGTTTGTCAGTCACTTTCTTCTGTATCCTGCAGAATGTCTGGCAGTTTCTTCTGTGAAACAGAAACCCTGAAGAAAAGTCTTAAGTTCTTAAAATATTTTAAATATTATATTCTGTAGGTTTTTGAAGTGTTAAAGATTATCTCTCTAGCTGAAATATGTTTCTATAAATCTAGAAAACCTAACATGACTACAAGCTTGACTATTATGACTATCTATTAATCTATACTTGTAATTATACATTACATTTTAAAATGAACTGCACAAATATAATAACTTAAATAAAAGTAAAAAAAAAAGTATATACAGTTTAACAAAATCAACCTTAAGTTTGTGTTAATAGACTAAAGTCCATACCAATGCAAAGTATTCTTTTTTGTTTGTTTGTTTTTCGAGACAGGGTTTCTCTGTAGCTTTGGAGTCTGTCCTAGAACTAGCTCTTGTAGACCAGGCTGGTCTCAAACTCACAGAGATCCGCCTGCCTCTGCCTCCCGAGTGCTGGGATTAAAGGCGTGCGCCACCACGGCCCGGCTCTTTACTCCTTTAATCTATGACTGTCTGTACTCTTTTGTATTACTTTTACTTATACTGTCTCTTTAAAGACTTTGTTTTATTTTTTAAAACTATTTATTTTGGAGGCAGAGGCGGGTGAATCACTGGTGAGTTCAAGGGTTCAAGGCCAGCCTGGTCTACAAGAGCTAGTTCCAGGACAGTTAGGACTGTTACACAGGGAAACCCTGTCTTGGAACCCCCCCCCCCAAAAAAAAAACCCTATTTCTTTTTATAACTCTCTGTACTCTTTTTTTCTTCTCTCTCCTAAGCCTATGTACATTTATCTAACACTATGACCCATTCAGAGGTTTATTTTTGTCTGAATCTGTCTTTATGTTTATCTATAATCATTTTCTGACCAGGAGTGCTGCCTTCTTTTTTGGTTTAAATGCTAACTGGGCATGGCTAGGACCAATTCAGTCCTGCTCAGTCCAACATGGCGGAGGCATGTTCACCGTCTCTGCGAGCCATGCTCACTACCCCAGCTCCAGGGCCGCAGCTGGTCTCTGTCACCGTTAAGCAACTAGTAGCATGCTGCTCACAGACCCCATTTATGTGTAGGACCAGAGGCAACAACCAGGAAGCACAGTTTTTGCTGCTAGTGCCCAGTCAGGAAACCTCTTAAAGGAGCCGCACCTCTGCCTGCCACCAGCAAACAGAGCGCACCTGAGAAAATGCTGCTACCAAGAAGCTGTGCTTACCTCTGTTCTTTAGTGTCCAGATTTCCTTCTCATGCTCTCTCAGGTTTTGTGTGGTTGTAGCTGCCCACATTGGCATTCCATTCGGAGACTGCTCTTTTGTTTCCTGACCACTGAGATCCAAATAATCGCACAGAAACTGTATTAATTATAACACTGGCCTATTGTCTCAGGCTTCTTATTGGCTAGCTCTTATATCTTAAAATAGCCCATTTCTATTATTCTATGTCTCGCCACTAGGCTGTGGCTTGCTGGGTAAAATTCTGGTGACCGGTTCCTTTGGCAGCTACATGGTGTCTCTCTGACTCCGCCTACTCTCTCTATAGATCTCTGTTCGGATTTCCCTCCTGGAGCCGGGCAGTGGTGGCGCACGCCTTTAATCCCAGCACTTGGGAGGCAGAGACAGGCAGATCTCTGTGAGTTCGAGACCAGCCTGGTCTACAAGAGCTAGTTCCAGGACAGGCTCCAAAACCACAGAGAAACCCTGTCTCGAAAAACAAAAAAAAAAAAAAAAAAGAAAAAAAAAAAAAAGATTTCCCTCCTGGCTTTGCTCTGCCAAGTTATTGGTTAAAAGCAACACATATACAGAAGGACCTCCAACATCAGTGCCCAAGCCTTCTGCTCGCATCCTGCTACCCACCCCTATGGGGCTCAGTTCTGAGTGTGGCCTTCACTAAAGTTTGTGCCTATCTCCTCCTCCAGGCTACGCAGCAGATGGAATAACACTGGGGCTTCCCTGGCCACCCACTCCAACCTTGGTCACCGCATGATCTGCTCTGGTTAAATCCTTCTAAGTCAGCCAGGGTCGTGATGACCTGTGACCTTCAGGGAGGGGAGTGGGCCAAGGCTGATGTCATGGGCTCTTGGACCCTTGTCTTCTGACAGAGAAAGCAGAACTCTGTTTCACAATCCGGATCCATCTTGCCTCACTCTGACTTGGGAAAGTGACTGTTGCCCCATTACCTGACCAGTGTAGCAGGGGCCTTGATCTCATTGCTCCCTCCAGTTCATACCTGCAGGGGTGTCCCTCCCCGAGATAAAGCCACTGTACCTTGCTGTATGTGCTTGGGAGCTCTTGACGTCTGGGAGCATGGGTGATGCTGAAACTCACCCCATCTTGAATCCTTTCTGGAGTAATCAATGGGAAATCAATAAACATGAAGTCTGGACTGGTTGCTACATTTACTTATTTATTTACTGCAGTGCTGGGGTTGAACTAGGATTATATGTGCCACCACACTTGACTTGATTTAAACAGGGTGCTTCTTTATTCTCTCATACAATACATTCCAACTGCAGCCTCCACTCCCTCCTCTCAGGTGCCTGTCACAACCACCTCCTTTCTCCCTCAGATCCACTGCCCCTGCATTTCCCTTCAGAAATGAGCAGGCCTGTTAGTGATATCAACCTAACCTAGCATGACAAGATGCAATAAGAGTGAGCACAAACCTTCCTATAAAGGCTTGGACGAGGCAATCCAGCAGGAGGGAAAGGGTCCCATAAACATATGGCCAACACCTGCCCAGAGTCTCAGGAACAGGTGGACCTCGCTCACCTGCCTCTGAGCCAGGAGGAAGATTCCTCAGTCTGTGGGAAGGCAACGTAGGTCAGGGTTGACAGTCTTGAAGCTTGGAAGAGTCTGTCAGGGTTCAGGGCTGCAGGAGTTTGAAGCATTTGTGTGGAGAGACTCTGGGCTTGGGGCTTCCCGTTACTAACACTGACTGCGTGCCTGTCTGGCCCACTGTTGAGATGCCCCAGGAGGTGGTGCCTTCTCTGATGACGCTATCTGCTGATCAGCTGGGACTTGCCATTCTGAATGGCCTCAGTGGTTCCAGTCTTGATATTGGGGGAGGTTCGTGCTCTGGGTTTTCTTTATTGAGGGAGAGGTAAGTGTACCTTGGCGCAGGACCTCTGGCTCCCTCTTCAGCCTCCAGCAGACCGACTACCTGCACAGGTGCTCCTTGCCTGGGGCACTGGGCAGGTAGGTGTTCAGCACTCTTAAACTCTGAAAAACTACTATTAGTGTTAACCATGAGTCCTTGGCCTAAGTACATCTTCTGAAGTCCGTGTTCCTATAATTTTCCTAATTGACTCCCTAATTGGCAGCTATGGGGCTCTCCCTTGCTACCCTGGCTGCCTTGAGCAAAAGGACTGTCAGACAAATAGCCTGTCAGACTACTGTCCTTACACCAGCACTGGCTGTCTCGTCCGTGGCTGTCTAGAGCAAACGCCAGGATGATCAAAGTTGATTGCTCCCAGCTCCTGAAGGCTCGGCTTCAGTTAAGGGTGTTCGAAACAGTTCACACCAGACATTTTGCTGTCACCAACCTCTGGATTCTAGATGATCCTGCAACTGTTTATACCCAGGTCAGAGGAGGAGAGCTTCTTTTGGTAGCCTGGCAGAGGGATGCAGAGGACTGCAGTGATGGGTGCTAAGCAACAGGACGCAGGGGCTTGAATGATGACTCAGTGCCTGAGAGCACTCGTGGCTCTCGCGGGGGACCTGGGTTTGGTTTCCATCATCCACACGGTGGCCAGGGGATCCAGTGCCCTCTTCTGACTTCCATGGGCACCAGACAAGCACATGGCGCAATACACTTCAAACACGTGTAATAAATATAAGCACAAAATGTTAAAACAGGCTGTGACTGGTGCAAGAACAAGTTGTCATTTGCACAGGAGGTGTGCTGTGACTGGTACACTTTCTCGCTCTATATAAGCGGGGCGTTCCACTCAGCGAATTGGCTGGAAGGCTCAGTCTTGTGCTATTTGCCTTAGTGTTACTACATGAGGCCCAACAAGAGGCTTCTGTTGGTGTCTTATCTTGCTCACAGTTAGCAGTGCAGGCTGAGCTGAAAACGAAGAGAAAGTAGCGGGAACAGTGGAGCAAAGGCAGAGGCGTGGCAGCCGGAGCTGCAGAAGCAGAGGGGCCGAGGCTGCTTGACAACTCTAACTTCAGCCAAAACAGAGAAACAGGAAGGAAGAGTCTAGCAGTAGCTGCTTTTCAAAGGGCAGCATGGGCGGCAGCAGTCAGCAACAACAGCAGCTTGGGAGGCCGTGGGAAGAGTAGTGAAGCAGGGGCTGAAGGAGAGGACTGGAATGCCTACCCAGAAGCTGCAAGTAAGCAAGAGCTAACACTAGAGGGCGCCACTAGTTCGCTGCTGTCAAATTCGGAGGGCTATAGCGCTCGGCCCCTGAAGCGCTAGCTTCTTGATGTCTCACAGGTTCTGTCCATTTCTACCCCTAGAGCCAGAGGACCCAAGTCAGTGAATTGGTAACAGCGTGTCATCTTCAGAGCATGGATCCAGGTCTCTTCCTTCTGTTGTTCACCTTCTAGTCCTTGGGGTCATCACTGGGGATAGGTGGAGAGACTGGGTCAAAGAGTAGTCAGCTGTGAAATCCTTTAGATATGCTCAGCCCTCCCACGGTGCTGAAGGGTATCCATGGCAACACGGGCGGGGCTAGGACACTGGAAGAGTGGAGTCGGCAGGGAGAATCCCCTTCTTCCCGCTCATCCACCCACCCTAACCCTAACCTAATTATCTAAAGATCACCAGTCTCACTGCTCTGAGTCGGTACTGAAAACTTGGAAGCACTACACTGTTAAAAGTGGGATTGGGTTGGATGCGGTGGCGCACGCCTTTAACGCCAGCACTCGGGAAGCAGAGGCAAGCGGATCTACAAAAGGACATTTCAGACCAGTCAAGGCTACACAGTGAGACCTTGTCTGAAAAACAAACAAATAAACAACAACAACAAAACCAAGATGATCTGGGCTACATTGCAAGAAGCAATTATAGTTCCTAGTTATAGATTCTGGGAACCAGGAGGGAGGCCCTGTCTGAAGAAAAATAAAGAAAATGAGGAACTTGGCTGACCAGAGCAAAAGCAGATTCTTTTCATTGCTGCTGTCTTCCATCCTCTGATGACTAAAAGCCAAGTGGGGACTGGGATCTTGTTTTTGTCTGTTTTATTTTTTGTTTTTTTGAGACAGGGTTTCTCTGTGTAGCCTTGACTGTCCTGGAACTCACTCTGTAGACCAGGCTGGCCTCGAACTCAAAGAGATCCACCTGCCTCTGTTTCTTGAGTGCTGGGATTAAAGGCCTGCGCCACCACAGCAGGCTAGGGTTCTCTTTTAATAAAGTAGAAAAGGAAGGTTCAGGGGGCTGGCTGAATGTCAAGGTCACCTATGGGAAAGGGGCAGAGAACGCTCCTAGATCCTTTATATTGTCAGCATTGTCCCTCTCTGTCCCCAGAGTGGGCTCTTGCCTGGCCTCCTTTCCCACCAGGGTGAACTAAAGCGAACTCTCTAGGGCTGGGTGGACGGGGCAGGTCTCTCTCAAGGGCTCCTCCCTGGGATTGAGCCACATCCGGACTCCAAAGTGGAAAAAGCCCACACAAATCAAGGACATCTGGGCCCACCCTCCGGTCTCAGCCCCTTCCCATCATTCCCTTCAGGCTTAGGCTCTGCAGGCTGCAGGAGTGGGTCTGGGGGTGAAGGGTGTGGTTTGAAGGGAGGAGGTCTTGGGGCTTTCACATGTGTTTAATGCCCCCAGCATTCCCCCATGGAGGGAGAGACTGAGCAATGTTATTAATCATCTTCCAGAGACTAGGGGGTACCCACTGCTGCTGTGGGGGCCCAGACTAGGGGTATCCACTGTGAAGAGGGGTCCAGACTGCAAAAGAGGCTGAAAAATCAGACAGAAAGACACAATCGCACTGAAAGCACGGACGAGTGTCCACCATGCTTAGGTTTGGAGCCCCAAAGGGGTCCTGATGATGCTCATTTCTGCCTTTTGGAACTGATTGTGAGGTCAAGATAACCAGGGGTCAGAATTACCTATAAACCCTGATGAGGTGTAACTCATAGGACTCTTGGCTAACATGGGCAAAGCCCATCCCTAGCACTGAAAAACAAACCACACACAAAGAACTAATTAGTCTCTGATGGGAGCATAGGCAGAGGTAGGTGGCTGGCATTTCCATTTGTCCATGACTGCCCTGGTCAGCTTTCTTCCCCAGGGGCATGCTCACAGGCCTGCGTCCTAGGCCTCTCCCTTCCATCCTCAACACCAAGCAGAACTATCCACATGCTGTCTGGCCCACGTCTCAGAGACTACCTACCACCTGCCTGGCTGTCCTGCCTTGACAAAATCAGTGAACCATGGGTTCCCTCCAGCTTGGGTTATGTAGGGACTCTGCCACACCCTGTGCATTTTTTTTTGAGACAGGGTTTCATGTAATCCACGATAACTTCAAATTCACTATGTACCTGAGGATGACTCCCAATTATCCCGCTTTATTTCTATCAATAAATCCTCAGAACTGCTCCAGAAGGAGAGTGTGCCATTACCTCCATTAAAAAAGAAAAGATCTATTTATATTTATGTGGTGTGTGCGTATAAGTATAGGCTACATGTGTGGGTGAGGGCCCATGGAGGCCACAAGAGGGGCATCGGGTCTCCTGGAGCTGGACTTACAGTAGGTATGAGCCACCCAGTGTGGGCGCTGGGAAGTGAATTTGGGTCCTCTGAAAGAGCAGCAAGCACTCTAAGCCACTGAGCCTCTTCCCATTATCGCCACTCTCTTTGGGGGGACAGGGTTTCTCTGTGTAGCTCTGTAGACCAGGCTAGCCCCAAACCCAGAGATCCGCCTGCCTCTGCCTCCCGAGTGCTGGGACTAAAGGCAGACACACTGCTCAACCTCTACCTCCATCTTTTTTTTAAAATTTTATCTTTAAATTTTACATATCAATCCTAGTTCCCCTCTACCCTCCCAACCCGTCCACTCCTCAGAGAGGGTATGGCGTTGGCCTGGGATGATCCTGCTGTATCTGCCTCCTAGGTGCTGAAATTATGTGTGGGACTCCTAAGATGAAGACTCCTCAGGAACTTTGTGTTTAATTCTGAGCAAAAGAGGTAGAACCAGACAGCAGGAAGCAAGTCATCCTCTCAGGAGTCCATGGCTCAGAGATGGGATCCACTGTCCATAGGTCGGTCACACAGGAGGATGTTAGCAAAGTTCTGGGGCTGGGTCCTGCCAGCAAAGCAGGCCAGGAGCCAGGCCGAGGACCAGCCTTGACGTCCCAAGGGAGGGAGGTGGGTAATCATATTTTTGAGAAACACAGACGATGTTTCTGGAATCAACTTTTACCTTCAAAGAGGCATTTCTAGGTTGGCAAAATGGCTCAGTGGGTAAAGGTGCTTTCTGTGCAAGCCTAGTAACCCGAGTTCAAACCCTGTGACCCATGTAAAGGCTGGAAGACAAAAGATGCCTTTGTTCTTTGGCATCCATATGTGCACACAATAAGTTGTCACACTCAAAACAAACAAATAAAGCTTTTCTTTTCCTTCTTCTCTTTCTTCTTTTTGTTTTTTTTTTCTCTGTGTAGCCCTGGTTGTCCTGGATCTCACTCTGTAGACCAGGCTAGCCCCAAACCCAGAGATCCGCCTGCCTCTGCCTCCTGAGTGCTGGGATTAAAGGCGTGTGCCTCCACTCCCCAGCATTAAGAAAGTTTTTCAAAATGAGATTCTTTGGAGCTAGAGAAATGGCTCATTAGTTAAAAGTGTGTAATTGCCTTTGCAGAGGACCTTAATCAAGGTCCTAGAACCCATGTCAGGGAGCTCGCAACTGCCTTTGACTTCAGCTCCAGAGGAGCACAACGCCTCCAGCCTCCTTGGGCACTGACATACATAGATTCACATACAGGTCCACACACATACACGTAATTAAAACGACAAATCTTTAAAAAGAAAGAAAAATAAGTAGGAGGCTCTTCCCAAAGTATTAAGTGGAGTTACCTTAAGACCTAGAAATTCTCCTCCAAAGCAAAATTCCAAGACCTTGTAGATGGATGTTTATAACCAGAAATAGTTATATCCAGAAAGTGGACACTATCCATGGGGTCTGCAGTGGTCGAAGGGAGACAGGGAGCTATATGAAGTTCCCACATGAAGGAACTAAAAGGCCCTGCAGGATGAAGCCTCAGTGTGCAGCACAGTGGAAGAGCCCGCGAGAAGACGGAGGCAAACTGACAGACAACGACGAGTCGATTTCTAGGAAATAGGGCCCGTCAGTCCAGAGAGGCAGAAATGCGTTGGTGACTTGCCACCAGGCACAGCTGGGGAGAGATAGCGCGGAATGACTGCTAACGGGCCTAGGGTTCCTTTTGAGAGCGATAAAAATGTTCAAAGCTGGATAAAAGTGAGAGTTGATACAGCCAGGTGGTGGTGGCGCACACCTTTAAACCCAGCGCTCTGGAGACAGAGGCGGGCAGATCTCTGATTTCGAGGCCAGCCTGGTCTCTAAGGCCACACAAAGAACTCTGGTCTTGAGAAATAAACAACCCCCCTCAACTCCCCCCAAAAAGATAATGACTAATTTTCCAGATGACTTGGGCTTAATTTCTGGCACCCACATGGTATCTCACAACTGTTTGTAACTCCAGTCCCAGGGAACCAGACTTTCTGACCTCACACACCAGGCATATGCGGTACGCATACATACACGCAGGCAAAACACTCATGCAGTTAAAACAGAATAAAACTTAAGCACAGCAATGATGAAAAACTGAAAGTCAGTGACCTCTGGCTTTGGATAGCATGTGACTTGTACCTCAATAGTAAAGCTGTTTCTCCAAAGACCCTGGGTCAGGATCTTGGTTTCCTTTCTACAAGGAAGGAATGAAAACTTGGAGGTAGCCAGAGTCTGTGGCCACAAGGCTAGAGGAAGGGACTTTAAGGCCCTCCCCTACTCCTCTAAAGGATGAGTTTGCGTGCCCACTTCTGGTCTCCTTCAGATGTACTCCGCTGTGGAGCCTGTACACCTACCACCACCTCACTCTCTCTACTGCCTGGAATGCATTTACCTCCTTGCCTGGCCTTCACCCCGGAAAGCCTTCCCTACCTCCTCACTGATCAGCATCTATTAAGTACTCATTGCGCGCTAGGATCCACATTGGGTGCTTGGGAGACCTTGGCCATTCGTATCACCCAGGATGTTCCCAGATTTGTACCCATTTCCACCAAGAGAGCCAGAGAGAAAGTAGAGAAAAGGGGGTCAGCTTCCAAACACTCAACTCATCTCGCTGTTGGGCCAGTGTCTCCTGGGAAGGCTTCAGCCCTGTGGAAAAGGCCCCCTGCAGAGGAAGCAGGGGAACCAAGGGCAGGAGGTGGGAACTGAGCCAGTGCTGGGAAGATGGAGAGTTACCAGGGAATACACTTGGGAATGAGGGTAGGGATTTAGAGTCCCAAGTGGCGACAGTTCGGTGCAATACTGCAGCGTGGGACCTCCCTAGGAGGGCTCTGAGAACCAGCACGCCTGCAACAAATCCCATTTACAGCTAGACCTGAAGAAGAACTTCCTGGGATCTTGCATGTACTGACACGCTTCCCAGACGGTGCTGGGCTAAAACCCGCCCACAGGACTGCTGGCACCAGCTTGCCTTGACAAGCAAAGGTAGCCTGGTGTCTGGGACTGGATTTGGGTGACTCCTTGGACCCAGCTGCCCTGGGTGTGGGAACTAAATGTCTGTGGGTCATTTGAAGTTCTCTGCCCCCCTCAGAGACAGCCCACAGTGATGAGAAACTTTCAGATGCCTCGAGGCCCAGGGACAGAACCTAGGGCAGAGGCTGGGGAACGGGCTGAGGTTCTATGGTGGGGTCAGGGACTGGACCTAGCAGCCAGGAAGTTGGACCAAGGCAGAAAGAAGCCCAAGGCATAGTTACCCTTCCCCTGGGTCGGGATGGCTTATTCACCCTCCTGGAGTCTTCTTTCCCCTCCGCCTTTCTAGCAAGCACCTGGTGAGCCTGGAACAGGAGATGGGGGAGAACTGTCCTCGACTGGCAAGTTCCACACATGTAGGAGCCCGGGGACCTCTCCATACTTAGAGGAAGCTCCACAGACAGAGGCTAGGTGCCTGCCTTCTCTGCCTCCTAATACAGGTCTCTCCAATTTCTGGGGGAGCCACTTTGCAATTTCTCGAGGCGATCACCGACATCCTGGGGAGGCCAGCTCTATCTGTCACTGGACTCTAAAATGGTCACCAGACCATTTAATAAGTTCTCTCCCCGGAGCAGAGCTCTCACTCAAGTGGATGGCTAGGTGGACTGCTGGCAAGGAGTGAGCATTCCTGCCACAAGCTCAGGATTGGGGACACCCCCCTCCCGTTCTGCGCGGGATGCCCGCCGGGCTTCATCCTCCCTGCACAGGCGGAATCCTAGACCCCGTGTCTGCCGACTGGCCCAGCGATGAGGCTCTGGCTTCAGGAAACCAGGGTTGAGACCGCACACCTGTCGTCCTGGATCTCTCATTCGCCAAGTCCTTGTCGCTGCTTTGTGTCCCTCCCTGCCACCGCATTCCCGTAGTCTAAGAGCGAAGACTTTGGAGTCAAGTGAGCCGGAGACCAGCTTAAGAGTGTTGGGGGTAGCCCGAATGGCTTCCAGTCGAGCTCGAAGTTAGCGGGAGTCTGCGAGTTCCAGGCGTGGCCTGAGCTCGGGACAGGGAGGGGCATCTCGGCCCCGCCCCCCCATCTTCCTCCAGCTCTCGGGCGGCTGGGCTGCTGAGCTCAACCCAGAAGCCCGGAGCCCACGGGCTGAGCGTGCGACAGCCGGGATGCGCTCCTGTCTGCTATCCCCGCTCCCAGACCTGGGCGCCGCGCGACCCGATGGCAGGTAGCGGCGGTCTAGGCGGGGGAGCTGGGGACCTCCAGAACGCCGGGCCGGGGCAGGGGGCTGCACTGCGTGCTCCCCGTGCTCCGCTGGCGTTCGTAGCTCTGTTGCTAGGCGCCTACTGCCTTTTTGCCCTCCCGGGCCGCTGTCCACCAGTCGCCCGTGCCCCAGCACCGGTTCCCGCGCCCGCCGAGCCTCACCATTCCTCCCGCCGTCTGGGAGCGCCAGGTCTGCCGGTGGCCAGCGGCTCGGGGCGCCGGCGCTTCCCACAGGCGCTCATCGTGGGTGTGAAGAAAGGCGGCACGCGCGCGTTGCTGGAGTTCCTGCGGTTGCACCCTGACGTCCGTGCACTTGGTTCCGAACCCCACTTCTTCGACAGGTGCTACGAACGCGGGCTCGCCTGGTACCGGTGAGCGCCCCTGCTGGCCTGCCCCTTCGGCGTTTGTGTGCGCCACGGACTGTGCTTTTAGCTCAGGGGCGTCGTGCGATCCCGGAACCCAGGACAAATAGGGCCTGAAATAAGTCTGTTAGAGAAACAAACTTGACCTCGTGGATGAGGCCCCCAAAGGAAGGCCTTTTATAGCCAAGGGCCCCAGGGATTAGAAAACCTCAGGGAAAACCCCATTCTCCTGTTGGGTGGGCTGAGGGACTCGGCAAGGTGTGATCCTAGCTGGGAAGTATTTTCAAGCCAGTGAGATAACTGGGCAGGTAGACTTTCCTTTTTAAAGGGTCGGGTACTAAACTATTAATATATACCCATATATTATTAAGGAGTATATTAATATAACCCCAGTGGGATTATTTGGGAGTCTTAGAAATACTTGGAGTTTAGGCGCCTTATCATCCCTTCGTGCCCGCCTCCCAATTATAAGTCTGAGTAAGTATGGGTAATTATCTGAACACTAGTTAAGTATATTAGGAAGGATCTCCAGGTTTCTAGACGCTCTCTAGAAAGTTCCTACCCCCCCCCCCAACCTCTCCCCGCCCTCCATCAGGTGAGCCTTTCTTGATTGTTGGAGTCTGGAGAAAGTTAGGTTTGGTCTTTGGAGAGAGAGACCCTGCCCTTCAGTGCAGCCCAAGGGTGGGGATTGGAATATTGGCATGCAGCTTCCTGCAGCTGTCCTCTCTCCACCCAGGACAGCCTTGGGGTGCAGCAGTGGAATGTGGGGAGCACCTCCCTAGGGGTAGGTCCTGGTGGAAGGTCAGCCCCTCCCCTGCTGAGTTTGGTATTAGAGGCTGGAGGCAGGCCCCACCCACTGCCTCCTGCAGCTGTTCAGGCCTCTAGGTACCCTGTCCCTTCCTGTGGGGAAATGGGGGTTCACAGATTGGCTTGCCTCATCTGCAAGTCAGTGCTGAGTTAAAGTCACCTGGAGGATTAGTGAGGGTGGCCCAGGCACACCAGCTTCTGTTTCCCAGGTCCTTCCTTCCTTCCTTCCATTTGGATTTGGGAGATAAGCTCCCAGCTCTGCAGGTTTGTACTACCTGGGGAGAGGCTCTTGGAAACATGGATGTTCCCAGCATGGTCGTAGGGAGTGTGAGGACAGCATACCGTATTTGTAGAGTCCATCTGGAAGCATAGGATGCTGGGGAGGAGTGGAACCCATGACCTCATCCCATTAATCAGAAGCTTGGGGGTGAGCAGAGTAGCCCTGGTGGGCTTCAGGACTGTGCAGCTTAGCGTCTTCACCTGGCTGTAGCCACAAAGGCTGCTGTCCTCTCTAGTAACCACTCCTCCGGTAGTGTTCTCGTGTATACACCGAGCCTCTGAGAATGAGCACCTCTGACTCAGTATCTCCAGTCACAGGACCTGGGATGAGCCCCCAGAACCTGCAGAACTCTGTCTGGTATGGGCTGAGGGAAAGGAGCAGCCATTGGTGAGGTTTTGGAATAGTGCTCGCATTGGGCTGTGAGTTGCCTCATTCTGGTAGTGACCTGACCAGCCCTGGACTCAGCAGAGGGGGCCTGGGTTGCCTCTCTCCCACCCATTCTCCTCCCTGCTTCTCCATTAGATCATTTCTTTGACTTTGTTGTTGTTTTGGGGTCTCTTGTAGCTCAGGTTGGCCTCAAATTCCCTGTGTGGCCAAGGATAATGTTGAACTTCTTGCCTATACCTCGTGAGTGCAGGGAATGATTAATGGTATCTCTAGTATAGGCACCACTATGGCGTGTGTGTGTGTGTGTGTGTGTGTGTGTGTGTGTGTGTGTGTGAGAGAGAGAGAGAGAGAGAGAGAGAGAGAGAGAGAGAGAGAGAGAGAGAGAGAGAGAATGCTGCTATGAGCATATAGGTCAGAGGCTAACTCAGGAGTCTTCTCTCCTCCCACTCACGGTCTAGGGACTGAATTTAGTCACCAGGTTTGCACAGCAAGTGTCCTCACTTGCGAAGCCGTGTCATCAAACCAAGGGGACTCACTTTGTTTATTTTTGTTTTTATTTTTGGAGGCAGGGTCCCATTTCTGCAGTTCTGCCTGGCCTAGAACTTGCTGTGCAGATGTGCAGACCAGGCCAGCCGCAAACTCAAAGAGATCCAGGCGCATGCCACCATGTCCAGCCTATGGCTAGTTTGTATGCGGTTCTAAGAGCTGAACTCAGGACCTGTGCACATTAGGCAAATACTGTATCAACTGAGTTACATTCCCAGCTTCTTAAGCTTTTCAGGGTCTTTACTCTTGGGGGCCATGGCCCCTGGCCCCTCTCAAAACCATGCAGCATTTACTAGCCCACTCTCCCTCACTTATTGAAGATTTGGGGTGTCAGTCAGTAATATTTTCTGAAAAAGCAAGAAAAGGTAAGGAGGGGTACAGGTAGGGGAATCTCTGTAGCTCCTGGGGTTTAAGATCAGGTCATAGGAGTATGTGCCTAGGTATGCAGGGGGAGGTGCTGAGCTTTCTTCCCTCCTGTGACTGGGGACTTGGTTCCTTAGCACTCTCTGACACTGGGATAAGGTCCCCTTGGAACTGACCCAAATGAGGTGTGGGATATAGTGGTGGTTCTGGAGGGGCTGGGCAAGCAGGGGGCGTGGTCTCAGGCTGGCTGGGAGCCACGGAGAAATGCAGACCAGATGGGGTGAATGCAACAGGAGAGAGGGAAGGTTTGTGGGGCAGCTTGACAGAACTCTGCTCTGCTCGGTCTCACCTTCCAAACACACTGCTCTCTTCTCTCCACGCTCACTCGCTCCCGAGGCTCGCGGAGGATCACTGATGCCTAAGATGTCAGGTTGCAGAAGGGCTTGGGACTGGTTCTCAGACCTTAGAGTTGTAGCCTAAGTCTCACTGAACTTTCCCTGACAGTATGTGGATCCTTACTGTACAAGACAGAGAGTACTGGGGACAGGGGCTCTGGGAACAGAAACCCTGTGGAATCCATGGTGGGCCGGGAGGAGGCCTGAGACTTCTTGTTTCTCATCAGTCCTTCCTATTCCTTCTCAGTCTTAAGGTTCCTTCCTATCAAATTGGGGAGGCTCACCCGTTCACTGTGTCATCCAGGTCCTTATAACTTCTATAGACCAGCTTTGCCTGCATCCTTGCTCTGCAGGGTTTCCCACATGTCACTCGCCTCTCTCGGCTTTGGTCATGGATGATGTCAGGAGCCTGGTATTGCTGGGGGTCTCTCTCTCTCTCCCTCTTTTTCTCCTCTCTCTCTCTCTCTCTCTCTCTCTCTCTCTCTCTCTCTCTCTCTCTCTCTCCAACAAGATCTTGTGTAGTTTAGCCTGTTTTCAGACTCTCTATCCTATCTGCCTCAGTCCCCAGAGTCCTAGGATAATAGACATGTACCACCATATCTAGGCCTGATCTCATTTTTGCCTGGTCTAATGGGGTAGGTCACATATCCCATGTTCATTATCAGCACCCCCAAACCAAGCACCCCAGCATGGCACCTGTGCATTGCCTGTATTTGCCTGGGAGCCTGGACAGAGAGAGGAGAATGAAGACCTGTGACTCAGTAAAGATGGGCTTAGTTCAGTGTGTCAGCTTGACCAGAGTGGGCCCTAGGGGTGGTCAGTGAGGGGTGGACAGTGTCCCCAAGAGGATGGGAGTCACAACTGGACAGGTCTCTCTCTCTCTCTCTCTCTCTCTCTCTCTCTCTCTCTCTTTCTCTCTCTCTCTCTCAGCCCCGCTGCCTCTGCCTCTGTTGACCCAGTTCTTGGCTTTTCTTTGGAGCTGTTTGCTTAACTTACCTACCCCACCCTGCCCTACCTCACTGTGTACTAACTGGCTGGTAGGTGCAGCCTGAGGCCACCTCTCAGGGTGCCTGGGCCTGCCTGGGCTCTGTGTGGGCTCCCCTCAGTTTCGGGCTTGGCTCTAGTCTGCTGACTTTCTCTGAATATTTGGATTAGGCCAACACTCTTCTCCAAAATGAAGGAAATTTCAGAAACGCGGGCTCTTGGCACCCTAAGGCTACTACAGGACTTGGGGATAGGCCCCAGGTGGATCCCTGACTTAAGGGTGCTAGACTCTGCTGGTGACTGGCATTCTTCACTGGGCCCAGAGAGAACTGAAGGTCAAGAGGGGAACTAATTGAATTTAGGGGAGGGAGGAAGGGAGGGAGGGAGGGAGGGAGGGAGGGAGGGAGGGAGGCCAGACTTTGGTAGCTGCATAATCGATGACCTAGTTCATGGTCAGTGATTACAGTAAAGAGGCCTGGAGGCTCTGTGCTGGTCAGCCTTGGGGTGCCTGGTCAAGGATAGGCAGAGCAGCCTTGAAAGGGGTGGATTGTTCTCTGGTGTGGGACTGGCTTGGACTCTGTGGAG